AGGAGAGGAGCCTCGGGAGAATAAGGTGATCTCGTAAGGTGCCCCCTGAGATGGAAGGGGATCAGGAACTTGGTCAGCGCGCGGCGAGAGGCTCGCGGTGTTCCTTAATGGATAATGAGTCACGCTAATTGGTAATGGACTCGAGAATGGTTCGGTTGCCATTCTCACGGGGGAACACGATCCGGCGATGTGTGTAACTGTACGAGACGGGAAATATGATACACTTGGCTGTCTCGTGTGCACGTCCGTGCAAGAAACACGCGCTCGCGCGAGATCCGCTTTGTACGGGGGAACTATTAGGCTAGACACACCGGGGCTCTAACGTCACAGATTGCGCCATTTCCTGTCCCATTATCATGTATTGTCTCATATGCGTAATATGTACTGACATTCCGCGCCTCGAGTCGCGAGCTAATCTTCGATTAGCTGGAGGGCCTTTCACCCTTTGCCTGCACTTACGGCATTACGACGTGACACGCAAATGCCGAGCAGCGTGTTATCGCATACCTGAGAACGGCGGCCAGGCAAACGCTCGATTATTCGCTTGCAAAATCTGAAACTCCCGGGCGACTCCGGGTCGATGAACCGCTGCGTGAATAAAACGCACGACTTGCGAATTACATTAAGAACAACCGCGAAGAGTGAGAACAATCGCAATTAATGCCTAACGTAAAAAAAGAAAAAAAAACAAACGATGCAAGAGCTTGCTCAATGAGTAACGCTTGCTGCAAGCCCAGAGCTTTCACATATCAGAACCAACTGAGATTTTCAATTTTAATTTATACATATGATATTGTTATTAAAATATACTTATTATTGTAATTAGTTATACTAATTAGTTATACTAATTAGTTTTGTAGTTTTTTTGAAAAGAATTTTGTCCGTGTTGTAAAAATCTCAAATCGATAATTTATCTAGTACTGATAATTTTATATTTGCATATAAGCTCTGTCCGAATTGATAGCTGCTGGCGTGCCTGATTGATACATCTCAGCAACAAGATTCGAGAATGTTCGAGAATATATAGAGATAGAAGAAGAAAGCGAAGTCGTGTCCGGAAATTGAAATTGTAATGAATGTAGGAAATCCGTTTACCGTGCGCACGCTGCGCGCCCGCGCCTAGCGGCGATTATAATAACGATAAGTTAGTTTAGTCTTTGTCGTAGTAATAGAAAGATCTCGTGTGAGATCTCGCGGTAAAAGAACGCGCCTTATGTTTATTTCATTTTTTATAATAAAGTATTCTTTAATTGCAT